AGTAGAGCAAACACGGACCTCTAAAACATAAAAGCTGGGATAAGAAACCATAGAGGCGTGAGCATCCCCTGCCGACTGGTTGAACTCGCCGTGTGCTCCTTGTCATGATCGGAAAAAATCATTTTACTAAATCATTATATTTTCTAGCAAAGAAACGAAACGACACTCTTGATATTCTTTGTTTTATCAACTTGTTTGTTATAAACTTCCTTTGTTTTAGAAATTGTTCGAACGTAGTGCATGCTCTGCTCAATCCATTGAGAGATATATACCAAAGGCTTGTATTACTAAAGTTAAAGTCGTCACCTTTATCATTAAGCTTTATTGCTATGTTACCATTAAGGTTAGCGTATACATGTACAAATATATGTCTTGAAAAAGATGTGTCGGACTCTGAAAGAGAGAGAGAGAGAGATGGAGAAGAGGGAGAGAAAAGATCAAGAATCACTGTGGCAGAGTTTACCCGAGACGTTAGCTGCAGATCTGTAGCGTTATGGTTTTATATTTTGAAAGTGGGGGGGGGGGGGGGCAGCCAGAGAAATTTTTTTTTTACTTACCTGAAAAAAGTTGACAAGCAAAAAAAAAAAAAAAATGAAAGTTCCCAAAGTCGAAAATCCTATTCGTGGGTGTGTGTGTGTGTGGGGGGGGGGGGGGGGGCTAACTACTTTCAATGCCAACTTATCAACGTATACCAATTTCTATACTACATAACCTTTCAATGAACATATCAATAAGGTTGGGGAAAAAAGTGGGGGGGGGGGGCAACCAACCTTTCAATGAACATTTTCTGTAGTATAAGTAAGGTTGCCAAAAAAAAGTGGGGGGGGGGCAGCCCCCCCCCCCCCCCCCGTTGCTATGCGCCTGTTTGTCTTTGACCACAATTACGCTACAGATCCCGTAACGCACAAAAGGTGCAATTTATTGCGCAATATTTTTTTGTGCACTTTTGGGGAGAATCTCTCCACTTTCAAGCATCGGTCAATTAACTAACTTTCACTCCCTAATTCTCGCACATTATTTAACTAATCTGTATATTTTATCCATCTCTCAACCCTTTACAGTCGTCTCTACAAGTGATAAACTCGCTTCATTAAAATTATTTGTTAGATTGCTGAAAAATCACTTCAAGCGAGTTTATTGCCTGTCGAGACAATTATTAATAGTTGGGAGGTGGATAAAATATAAATATTGGCTACAAAATGTGTCTAGAATTAGAGAGTGAGAGGTAGTTGATTGACCAATGCTAGAAAGTGGAGAAATTCTCCCCATAAGTGCAAATAATCTAGGATGGTTGAAGTTCGGGAAATAAAATAAGGTCATTTTAACTGTTATTGCAATGCAAGTTAATTCAGTATATTGCAATATGAAATTCGCCGCCAAATACAGCCCTATGAAATGGGAGAGCGTTGCGTTTTCCAGAACATAGTCCATAACATAATTTATTCACCAATCAAGGGCCCTCGGGGGCATGAACAATTGTTACAAAATGATTACACTGATTACAATTGAATAGTATAGATGTATAATGTAATATGTATGGAACGCCATCACTGCCTTATAGCATACAACTATGCATTTATTATGTCAGTTTATAATTACGTGATGTGAACATATCTTTACGTCATGTCCATTTTTTATGAGATGATGTAAATATATCTTAACATGATGTCAATGCTGCATTACATGAAGTAAATACATCCTTTCATTATGTCAGCACTTCATAACTTGAAGTAAAAAATTCATTATGTGAAGTGATAATGTGTTTACACTGTGTTAAAACTTTATTACGTGAAATGAATGTTTCTTTACATCCTTTCATTTCTTTAATATGTGAGGTCAAAATTGCATTACGTCAAGTAAATTGTGTTTTATAATTAAACTTATCATTACATGAAGTCAAAAGCCCATTCCTTTTTGAGGGTGTATATTTCTATTATATCAAAGCATTATTACGTGATATGGATTTATCTTTATTTTACGGCGAGGGCATTATGATGTGAGGTGAACACATCTTACCTTTATGTCAGTGCTTTATTCCGTGGTGTAAAAAGTGTATAACATAATGTGAACATATCTTTATATTATATCAATACTTTATTACATTATGTAAAAACTCCATTCCGTGATGTGGATATATAATTACGTTATGTCAACTCTTTCTTATGTGATTTAAAAATATCTTTATATTGTGCTAACTCTTTATCATGTTGATTCCAAAAGTTCATTACCTGATGTTAAAATACATTTACATTATCTCAAAGCTGTATATCTAGTATATAATGAATGTTGACGACCGTGTGTTAATGACTGGTAAGAAGGGGGGAGGGGTCCTGATTGATTAGGATAAATTACAGGCACATAATATCACCCCCCTCTTTTCCCCAGACATAACTTTACTATAGAAAATGTAATGTTCATTGAAACTGTACAGCCCCCACCCCCACTTCTTGTTGAAGTATAGTCCACTAAGGGTAATGTAATATATCTGGGGAAAAATGGGACTGATTGAAGTTGGACCCCTCTCCCCGAAAAAGGATTTTCGGGCTTGAACTTTTTTTTTCTTGGCTTGTCAAGTTTTTTCGGGTAAATGATTTTTTTTTCCTGGCTGACCTCCTCTTTCAAAAAAAGATGCTACGTCACTGGAGTTAGTAATTTTTTTTTATCATTCCAGGGCCAGAATTCTATTACAAAAATCTACCAGTCGCTCATCTAATTCAATTGAATATGCCTTAGTAAGCATGTATGGGCACATATCAGTGGCAGATATGGGAATCTTGAACAAGGAAGGGGGTCGGTATATGGTTGGAGACCAGGACGGAAAGCGGTGAAGCTCTCAGGCTTTAGAGTTTTATAGAAAAAAGTTTTCAACTTAATTCAGCTAAACTTAATGTGAAACTAATGCAATGTCCTACAAAGTTTAAGACTTTTATATATAAAAAAAACAGTTCAAAATAAAAAGAAAAAAAATGATTGCCGCACGACTCATAATATTTGATTTATTTAATTATCAGATACAAGTAAACACCATTGAATTTCGACGTGACTTTAATTCACAGTCGCAGTGTAAAGGCTTTGCATGTTTCAAGATTGTCAATCATTTGTCGCTTAAAGTTTTCATTTAAAGATGTCATTCCGAAATCGCTGAGAATCTCTTCTACGACAGTTTTCTCTCCCGCCATTTTTAGTGCTTGCGGAACGCGGAAAATACGTTATGCTCATATAAAGGCCGAGGATACCCGTTTTCGCATAACGTAATAGTGAATCGACATAATGTAGAAGAGTGCGCACAGTAATGGTAACGCTGATTTGATTGGATAAAAAATTTACTTCATATCGTATAAAATGGGTTGCCGACGTCACAATGACTTACGTCAAAAACGTATCAATCCGCCTGACGTTACATTCAAATTTTGTACAAATTGAAGTCATTTTGTTGGAACAATCATCTTTTTTTTCTTACATCACATGAATGAAAATTAAATTATAAGCAATGGCTACCCATTTTATAAGGTATGGTATTTTACGCTTTTTTATAAACCGCTTCGCGGTTTATAAAGCACATCAGTTAATAAAAACTAAGATTGTCATGAAAAGTAAACAACGAAATGCAAGTCGACGAAATAAAATTGTAGTATGTGTAAATGTCATAAAGAGTTGACATTATATAAAGGAAAGTTAACACGATGCAATAGTAGTGTGGGTTAATGTTATAAAGAGTTGACATAATGTAATGGAAGGTTGACACAATGCAATAGTAGTGTGGGTTAATGTTATAAAGAGTTGACATAATGTAATGGAAGGTTGACACAATGCAATAGTAGTGTGGGTTAATGTTATAAAAAATTGACATAATGTAATGGAAGGTTGACACAATGCAATAGTAGTGTGGGTTAATGTTATAAAAAATTGACTTTATGTAATGGAAGGTTGACACAATGCAATAGTAGTGTGGGTTAATGTCATAAAGAGTTGACATAATGTAATGGAAGGTTGACACAATGCAATAGTAGTGTTCTGCTATAAGGCAGTGACGGCGTTAATATGACTTAATAATTAAGGTTGTCATGGTCCTCATGGAGAAGTGTAATACCACAAGTTGAATCATCATGAAAATGTAGGATTTGTCACATATTCACAGTATAGTCTCACACTAGATCAAAAGTATATATCACAGGATTCATGGCAGTATGATAATATATAGTGCATCTTGAATATAGAGGGCATCAGGGGATGATACCTCTACAAGCCAGTCTGGCAAACCTGTATCCTAAGTATTCTAGACGCTCATTCAAAAAAATCATTTAAGTGTTAACAGAAATAATAATTTCAATTAATAAGTACTTAGCATATAATTATAAACTTGATGCAAACTTATATCTTTTTGGAGTTATAGTTCAATAGATATTTCACATTCTAATCTAAATACATAGTTTCATATCCACATACACATATACACGTTTACATGTATTGTTTTGTGGTCATTGACATTCTTCTGGACACTTGTATTATGTATGATCATTGACACTGAGAAAAATGTTATTATGTAAATTGGTCATTTATATAACTGTTTAATTCAATTAAAAAAAATTACATTGTTAAAAAAATGTTTAAATTGTACATTTACATGTGTATGTATGTTGAAATGCCATTCGGGGCCTTTGATTGGTAAACAAAATATCTTGTATCTTGTATACATACATAAAGTATAATTCACATACGAATATATTTTAAATATTATTACACTATCATACATAAATGTTCATCTGTGATATAGTACAGGCACAGGGGCTTGTCACGAAATATTTATCTTCTTCTAATAAAGTTACCCCTACTATAAAAATACACGTGTATTTTTATAGAAGGGGTAACTCCCCTGTGGTACAGGTACTATTTTCAAAATTCCGCGCTTTTGGTCCTGTTTAATCGCGTCTGCGCAATCCAGTGGTAATCCCTAAGATGAGACATTTTCTATTTATAGTAAGCGGACGTGGATTGGTTATATCAATACTGTGTAGAGTCCATTCGGCTGGGTTGCCAGAATGTCGAATGAGGGCGACATAAAATTTATAAAGTGTGTGGTTGTCGGGGATGGGGCGGTGGGTAAGACTTGTATGTTAATGAGCTACGCCACTAACAAGTTCCCCACGGAGTACGTACCCACTGTGTTCGACAATTATGCAGGTATGTCATTATGGTGTAAACCCTGAAGTGGTCCAGTCCATGGGACAAGACGGGATATACGTAAATAATGTTAGTGTTGTGTATTGTGGGTGTAGGTCTAGGCATCTATATATTTTACCGTGTGAATTTACTAAGAAAAATGCGGGGGGTGGTTTAAAAGTGAAAAGATCTGCTGGGATCATAAATTAAATAGAACTAGGCAGGGCACAATGTTTGTTATTTTGATTCGCTATGTGCATGGTTGACCCCAATATCATACAGTATTAGGATTTTAAATGTAACAAAACAAATGTCCAGTGACCGGAGGGCTAAGTTATACCACGGGATCGTCACCCTAACATCTCTGTAGATCCTTACCACTTTACATGGGGCGGTGGACGATGAATGAATTCACAGTGCCATATATAATGACTGTAAAAACAGTCACTTCCTGTAATTAATACAATAAGTACTTGGACGTTTTGTAAGTATGGGAATTAAGTAACCCCCGAATGACAAGGCTTATCGCATCAATTCAACGTCACACATGCAGCTGGGCTAGTATTGGATTATGTGTGATAGGCATTCCAATGAAGGGCTATGGGCGTTCATCTTCTAGGATGTGCATTCTGCTAACAGGAAACTACAAACAAAATCGTGTTCTGAACTACCGAGTTATTCACGTTAATTTCTAAATAACATGTAAATATAAAATACACTAGTAATACTTCTATGGGCAGTTTTTTTTTTAAATATATGTATTAGTGAAAGATTCATTTTTAAGGCCATAACATAATAACACTTTTCTCCAATAACATTACATCTGAATATTTCTCTGATTTTTTTTTGTTAAGGATGAAGACTGATTATAAAATACTCCACAATATTAATATACAATACGTCTTTTTGATTCAGAAATATAGATGAGTTCATATTCGAGTAGAGATTGGGGAAAACCTGCAAAAAGTATTTGGGGGAATTCAAAAAAAAAAAAAGGAAAAAAACTTCGCCATTCAATAGCTATTTCTGGAGACAGGACGGAACGGAGTTTAATTACACACATTTCCATTCTAGAAAGGGAGGATTAACTTTTAACAAGCCACACAATATCACAATTTTAAAGGCGTTTCATTTTCGAGGTCTAAATTGAAGTGTAAAATCAGTGAAGTTAAAAAAACAATAATCCTGATAACACGTAAAAATATGGTATTTTTATATACCGTGTAGGGCCAATCTGTAAACGGCAAATTATATCAGATGTCGATATAAGAAAGATAGACGAAAAAATCATGTATTTTTTATACGTTTTTTTTTGTCTAATAAATTTTCAGAAGCTGGGGGGGGGGGATCAATCAATTCGTCAGGTGCCTGTGTCATAAAGTGCATGCACTTGAGCGGACATAGGTTGGCTGCAGCTTTCAAATGTAGAATGCCATATATGTGCAATGGGACATTTTACATATACACATTAAGAATTTGTTTTTATTTATATTTTTAATATTTTATTTATTGGTTTATTTATGTCATTGGAAAAAGATGGTTCTTAGATGATACCATATTTATTTTGTATTTGAATCGGCAAAATGCCGATTCAAATACAAAATAAATATGGTATCATCTAAATTTTCAGTTCAATCTAAAAATGCAACTATGGAATGTAATGTTTAGTTTCAGAAGGTATGAATAGGCTACTGAGTAATCATGTACATTTTATTTTGGCAGTCAATGTAAAAGTAAAAGAACAAGATTATCAGCTGGGACTGTTTGACACCGCGGGTCAGGTAAGGACTGTTTACTGACCACTTCCTGATAAACCTGGAGGATAGAGATGGCTGTAATATTCTGTACAGGAGAAATTGAATAGAGATTTGTCGCTGTGATATCAAATTTTTGTACATCTCCCTTATGTTTAACTTTGCGGAACTTTGCTTGTTTGATATATATTTTATTTTTTTTAAATTATGTAATGTATTTCAAGGACGTCGTAAATCTAATTACAATGTGTTCTGGTCAGGCATTAGCTGCAGTAATTATGAAAATATGGTCTATTCCTATACTGATCCTTTCGGTTTTCAAAGCACGAAGAGGGTACGTCAATTAAGGAAATTTTTCTTCTTTATACAATTGATATTGCGGTAAAGATCACTACTGTTCAGTTTTGTACATAACTGGCATTTTTCTTTTGAATAAACGATACAAATTATCTACAAGGAAGCACCTATAAACAAATTAGCAAAGTATGTACAAGAGGACAGGGATAATAAGAGATAGTGACATACAATTTAGCTATAACTGTCGAGAGGGAACAGTCCCTCCCCTTTCCCGATAGACCGTGCAAATAATTGAGACATACATACTTAGTTTTGAAGAGAGCTGGCTTAATTTTCAGGCCCATTTACGAGTCTGGACTCTAAAGTCTTGGCGCATTGGTTAGAGCGTCTGCTCTCGTCGAGGGTTCGAATCTCACTATGGAACGTGAGTAGGTTATTAGTGTAGACCGGTCCTTCGGATGAGACCGTATAAACCGAGGCCCCGAGTCGCAGTAGGTGCTGGCACGAAAAAGATTCCTCGCTGCTCAATAACATGCCGAGCATAGGACACAATTTGGAGCTCTTCACCGGCAAGTGGTACAGGCTCCATATGAGTGAAAAATTTTCGAGAGGGACGTTAAAAAACATACAAACAAACATGCAAGAGTCTGCATGGATTCGATCCCCGAAATATTTCTTATTGTTGTGCCAATGCCCATATTTGGTAGAAACATCTTTCTTTTAACATTTTAAATTATAATCGGTTTCATGATTTATGATTCATTCCAAGATGGCTGTCTGAGTGCTTTATGAAGTGAATATTAAATTTTATGAGTGTGTGTGTTTTCTGGAAATAAATACGCTGACCAGGTACACAGCCACACTTTCTCAGGTGAAACTAAGACGAAGCTCTACCAGTTACCAGTCGTGTAACAGGAAATACGGTAACAAATTAAAAAAAGTACGTAAGGGTTGCCCGCAACCCTGTGTCTCGCCTGCTGTCGCTGTGGTTAGTAAGAAATGATTGTCTGATAAACTGAAGCATTTATTGACATTTCAGAAGGAATAACTCAAAAATACAATAATAAAGAAATGGAACAGCTGACTTAATATCTAATCCCTTGGCGATTATATTGGCATTTATATATATATACATATACCCTGTAAATTCACAAATTATTGTGATGTTTTTATTATTGTATTGCAACGTGTTATGAGTCGCAATAATTTGAACTTGCATTTTGAAATCAAATCCACTGTATATGTATCAAGTCATTCATGCAGAAAATGTAGGTGAAGATTACCTAATTATGGTACTGATATTGTTGGTTACCCATGATGTGTAGACTGACAAATTATCATGCCACTATAAGTTATAGTTGCTGAGATATGGACCTCCACCATAAATTTATGCAAAGTCACTCATGCGGAAAAATGTAGGTCAAGATGACCTAATTCTGGTACAGGCGTTTGTGGTTACCCATGATGTATCCACTGACAAATTATCATGCCACTATAAGTTATAGTTGCTGAGATATGGACCTCCACCATAAATTTATGCAAAGTCACTCATGCGGAAAAATGTAGGTCAAGATGACCTAATTCTGGTACAGGCGTTTGTGGTTACCCATGATGTATCCACTGACTAACTATCATGCCACTATAAGTTATAGTTGCTGAAATATGAACCTCCATTATCAATTTAACCAAAGTCATTCATGCAGAAAAATGTAGGTCAAAATGACCTAATTCTGGTACTGATGTTGTTGGTTACTTATAACCTGTACAATGACAAATCATCATGCCATTATAAGTTATAGATGCTGAGATATGGACCTCCACCAAAAATTTAACCAAAGTCACTCATGCAGAAAAATGTAGGTCAAGATGACCTAATTCTGGTAACGTTTGTGGTTACCCATGATGTATCCACTGACTAATTATCATATCCCTATAACTTATAGTTGCTGGAATATAGGTCTTCACCATAAATTATCATGAAAAAACTAAGTCCAACTTAAGGAAAAAATACGGAAAAATTTGAATTTTTTTTTTCAAAATCATACTTGGGATATAAATTTTTATCCATACTGAATATTGTGTCCAAATTTCAAGAAGACTGAATAAAATTTGAGAAAGTTATTGCAGTTTATAAAACTTTGACATTTGGGTTAACCAAAAGTTGGACGCCGACGACGACGACGACGGAATCTATGGTCGCTATGTCTCGCTTCGCGACATTCGTCGCAGGCGAGACAAAAACTTGCATCGAAATAATTAGGTCTTTCCAGCTTTCTCTGGAAAGACCTATTGATATTCTTCTGTTTCTTTTTTTCCTTTTTCTTTATTATTTTTCCGCCGTGTGATTTTTTGTTTCAAGATTTATCGAAACGATTTTCAGTCGATAAAAATGTACTCCGTAAAAGATTTTTGCAGTTGACCCTGCGTATATGAACTTTGACCCCTTTCGGAGTTACGACCCCTTTCGCAATAAAAGCTTGTTATCGCTACTCCTCCGAAACCATAAACCGCAGAGATTCCAAACCTTTATTAATGTTTACGACTGATTTAGTAGACTCTCCAATCAAACATTGCGAAAGGATTCATAAACTCCTATAATGAATTATTGCCCCTGAATGTTTGCGATGTTTACAAATATCAAGAATTTTTCTAAAACGACAAGGCGTAGAGACATGGGGCCAAATGCAAAAGATTTCTTGACCTTTGACCTTAAAATCTAGGTCAAGGTCAAAGGTCAAGGTCATTCAAAATAGGTAAAATTCAGCATTTTTTATAGCTCTTCTGTTCTTTACCAAATTCTAAACTTCTTTGCATCTTTAGTATGTACTCTTAAAACCATTTCAGAGATTCCATGCTTGTCTTCTAAGATTGAACCCTCTAAAAGTTAGTGCCCCTTTCAGTGTAAACCCTTGTTATCGCTACTCCTCCGAAACCGTAAACCGTAGAGGTACAAAAACTTCTACAATGTCTGCGACTAATTTAGTACACTTCTCAGTCTATTAGTGCGAAAGAATTCGTAAACATTTTAAGTAGTTATTGCCCCTGGCAGTTTATGATGTTTACGAAGAACTAAAAACTTCTTAACGACAAGTAGTAAGGACATGGGCCCAACTGCATGAGATCTTTTGACCTTGAATATTAGGTCAAGGTCAAAGGTCAAGGTCATTGGGAAAGTATCAAAATTGCTTATTTACGGGCTTTTGGTTAAAATGACCTTGACCTTTGACCTTGATATTTGACCTTGACCTTTGACCTTTTATCAAAAGTTTAAAAAGATATATTCATTATCTTTACCTAGATTCAGCTTCAAGTGTAAAACTCAAGTTTATAAGGCTAAGTGCTTTTGGATGACCTTGAACTTTGACCTTGATAAATGACCTTGACCTTTGATCCAAAGGTCACAATCAAGCTTAATTATGTGGAGGTATTTATAACTGTCATGTCAACAAACACTTATATAATACAACCCCCCCCCCCCCCATTTCTCTAAAAAAAAAATCAATAGTGGCATAGAAAATTTTTCTACAACTCAAAAGACATCACAGATCAAGATAAAATTCAGTTTAGCATGTAGAAGACACCTCAAAGAAACTACCCTGAGAGTTTTACAGTGAGTCTCTTAAGTGCAATTAAATTCTAGTGAATATCGGTAAATTCTACATTTTTTTTTTCTGTCTGAAATATAATTGTTGATAAGTATAAAAATTAAATAAAGTTTGTATTGGCTATTTCTTCGATTGTTGTTAATATCACTTGATTCTCCTGCTCTAATACGATATTTCGATACCAAATATTCTTGCTTTCTTTAGTATGTGGAATTTATTTCAATTTTATTTGGATTTAATATTAATGGAATGAATCTAGAAAATGGCGATTTTCCTGTCAAATAAATATCCACGCTCTCAATGACACCGTTTTTTTTTTTCCCCTGAGATGCATGTTTCAAGTTTAATTTATGCTGGTAACTATGAATTCAATTCAAATAGAAATGATTATTAAATCTTACCTATGAATTGACCATATCTTTAAAAACGAACGAGGCCTTTTTCAAATACATAAATTGCTACGCAACCTCAAATGCATGTATCCCCGTTAATACCAATATCATAATTGTAATCGGACCCTATCCCTTACATTTTAACTCGAAAACAATCTCATTCAAACTCACATATACTCCCAGGAGCTTGTCAGAAGTGTCTCAACTGGAACTCTTTGACTGGTCAATGAATCAAGGAAATTCCGTTAACTTTAACTCGACAATAATACAACACAATTTCAACGGAACCCGTGGCGTAGTGGTTAGAGCGCTCGCCTGCTAATCGCAGGGTCCAGGGACGGAGGGTCCAGGGATCGAATCCTGCTGGAGCACCTTATTTTTTTCTTTTATTATTTTTTATTTTTTTTTTTTGCGTTTTTCTTCGTTTTTTCAACCCAAATGACACGGAAACACTTAAAAAGCTGGAAAGACCTCTTATTGTTCTGTGAACAATAAGTCTCCTAGATTTTCTTTAATTTCTTTTAATTTTCTTTAATTACAGGAGGAATATCAGGGACTACGTCTTTTGTCATACCCAGGAACCCATGTGTTTCTCATGTGCTTCTCTGTAGTGATGCCAGAATCCTTGAAAAATTTAGAACTAAAATGGATTCCTGAAGTGCGACACCAAGTTCCAGAAGCCGCTTACATTTTAGTGGGAACACAAGTTGACTTAAGAGACGATGAAAAAATAGGTCAAAAGCTACAAAAACGGCGACAAAAACCAGTGACGTTAGAAGAGGGACAGAAAATGGCGAAAAAGTTAAATTGTGACTGTTATGTCGAATGTTCAGCATTAACGCGACAAGGCTTAAAGGACGTCTTTGACGAAGCCCTTATAGCAGTGTTAGATCCGAAAGTAAAGAAAAAAGCATCGTCAGGCCGTAGATTTAAGTGTGCAATTCTGTGATCAAGCTTTGATTTCCGTGGCTAGTCTCTTAGAATACAAGGAAGTTCCCCTGGCTGACTTCCGTATATCTGGTTTAACAGTGCTAATTCTGGTTTCAAACATACTTCTAGTGCCTTGTTTAAGCAAACTAAAATAAAATAAAACAGAAACGTCCATTTCCATTTTGACATAATATATGTTGACGTTCAACTCTAAATAATATTACACGATTTTGTAGAAGATACACATTCGATATGTTTTAATTAAATTTTCAACGAATTAATTATTTGAATACTAGTACTAGTAATCGTAAATATGAAGATTATTTCAAGACCAAACATTTAAGAAAACAAATGGTGCACTAAGTTTACGTTTACATTGTCTCGACCACTGATTAAATGTACTAATTTTATAATTATAACATTTTGTAATATCTTGATCAGTATTTTTATTTAATGCTTTTTTTTTTTTTTTTTACACTTGATTGTTATGAACCCCTAGTTTGGCCTGTGTACATGTAGATCCTGTGTATGCATTTGTCTTCCTTTCTTTCCTTGCTGACTTTGTTATGTTTTTATGATAATTTATGAAGTGTTCACTTTTTTTTAATTTTATGAATATTGATGTTAACAATTTAAGATTTTACTTAATTATAATTCAATTAAATCGTATAAAGTCACAGTGTTCAGTATTGGTGTTTTCGCACTTTTTTCTAAACGCTTGCAGATACTGTGCTGATTTTGGTATGCAAGTGTATCTTGATGAGTTACAGATCAAGTTTGCATCTCGTGATTGATTTTTGACGGAATTAGGGCATTTTTTTTTTAAATAACTGCCATTAATTGGGATTACGACCAGTTTCGTGATGCACTAAATTAAACTATTTTGTGTCCTAGAGAAAAGGGGATCCCGGTAGGGGACATGTATTACTTATAAATTACTTTCAGAATTAATGCTTGTTAAGTAAGTGAACCAAAGCTGCCCACCAAGTCTAGCATGATTCAATATTGTATAATTCTATGAATCTTCTCAATGCCGAATGGATCAAAACAACGAGAGACCCGTGGGCCTCCACGGTCACCTAAGCACTTTGGCTAGTTCAGTATTTTATGAGTTGTATCAACCTATCCCTGAGGGGAGGAGGCATGATTTGAACAAACTTGAATCTACACTGCCTGAGGGTGGTTCCATTTAAATATGAAAAACCATGGCTCTGCTGTTGTTGAGAAAAAGATTTTTTTAATGATTATCCCAATGTATTCCTATAGAAAATTTGATGGTTCGTTGTGGCACCACCCTATCCCCAGGGGTCATGATTTGAATCTACACTACCTGAGGATGTTTTTACATTAGTTTAAATTTTCCTTTCCAAGTGGTTCTGGAGAAAAATATTTTTAAAGATTTTTTCCTGTATTCCAATGTAAAAATTTGATCGTCCATTGTGGCCTTGCCTTAACCCTGGGGTCATGATTTGAACAAAGTTGAATCTACATTACCCTAAGATGTTTCAATATAAATATGGCCGATCATGGCTTAGTAGTTCTGAAGAAGATTTTTGGTATGTATTCCTATGTAAATCTTTGATCGTCTATTGTGGCCACACCCCACCCTTTGGGGTCATGATTTGAACGAAATTAAATTTACACTACCTTGAATTTTTGGGAAGCTTCCACAGTTTCAGCTTTTCTGACCCAGTGGTTCTTGTGAAGATTTTAAAAAGATGCAATTAATCTTTAACTATTTTTTGATAATCTCCCCTTAGAAGAAGGCGTGGCCTTTCATTAAAAAAAACAATCCCTGAATCCTCTTATCCCAAAGATACTTTGTGGCAAGTTTGGTTGAAATTGACTCGGTGCACGTGGTTCTTCAGACTGAAGTTGAAAATGTGAAAAATTAACAGACAGACGACGGACAAAATGTGATGAGAAATACCTTTTTTTATCCGACATGCATCAGAAATTACTGGACGTCCGTTATAAATGCAAAAATTCATAAAAATACTGAGAATCATTATTTTATTTTCCCTTTTTTCGAGGCATGAAGTCCACCACGAAATATCAAATGTCTCATGGATATTTCCTCATGAATTCCTTATCTACGAAAGCAAATCCCCACAAAGCAATTGTTTTTCCTCAAACCACGAAAAAATGATCCCACAAACCTTTGTTTTGTGCATTATAACAAAAAAAAAAAAACAAAACAAAAAAAAAACATGACCAATATCTCGCACGCGGGAAAATATATGCTTAGAACAAGATAATTTGCCAATTTTGATAATCTATCTTATCTGTCTTTTAATATACTATCCAAACAAAATTATCCTTATAATAAAAGAAGTATTAATTTGCTGCAATTTGTTTAAAATTATCTTCTCGCCATGGAGTTGGAGTAACGTGCTGGAGTTTGTCCGAATTGGAAGAGGCTTAAATTGCATCAAATCGAACTATATCGAAAACTGTTGCTTTATAAAATTCACAAAATTCAGTTCTTTCTTATTTAGAATTAGTAGTTCAAAACTTTTTCCTTCTTTTAAAATACCTTTCGAGATGTTTAATTAATCATTTAAAACCTGCTATCCTTATAACAATAAAAAATAATAACCCGAATATCAATTCTAATGTATCGGCCAAACAAGTCACAAGAATGTCACAAAATATGCAAGTTTCCGAACTTTCTTATTTCTATGCACATTTTTATCAATTTTAGAGTACATTTTGTTAGAAAACAGAGTAAAAAGTTGCCAAATATCAATGTTATTCACGGCAGTATAAGAAATTGAAATGAATGAATATTGTACTTTCTTCAACCAACTGAAACTGTATATGATTATTCAAACCATGTTGCATCAAAATCAAACAATCAGTTTGTTCAACAAGGATCTAGTAGAAGCCTGGACTTCAATAAAAAATATGGAGATAACGAACAATACTCAAGGTCGAAAGTCCACAAAGAAATACAAAATAGGAGCAGAGCAAACATGGACCTCTTAAACATCAGAGGTGGGATCAGTCAGCATTTGAATCAATGATAAATTGTATTTGCTGAGAAGGTCATGGCATCGATCGACCATATATAGAACTTACGAAATGATGACTTTAAACGAGACTGCTGATATCCTTGTTTCACCAACTTGTTTGTCAATAATTTACCTCGTTATAGAAATTGTACATATATAGAGCATGCTCTTGTGTATCTAATCAACTGAGAGAGATAAACTCTGTATGCAGGTGATGAAGGTTAGGAATCGGTCTAAAAAGATTGTGTTAGGATACATGTACATGTACTTAGATTGGTGTCCAAGTACTTGTATCGATAAACAGCTTAAATATAGAGAAACTGAATAGCAACATCGGCACAGCTTTACTCCAAATCAAGCTTAGAACATTTACATTAATTCAACAAGAAACTAAATCAATGGACGGTGTTGTTAGAAATGAAAATAGAAGAAAGCATACTCTTTCAAATAAATAAAAATGTATAATTAAATTTGAAAAAATAAGCAATGATATATACAATCACATATAAAATAAATCAAATATACTTTAAAAATAGCAAAATTCACAGATGTCTTTTTGAGATAAACCTGGGAACTTCTTTTGGGACGGAATAAAACATTCTCAAAATACTGTATAAAGAGACAGCAAATTATTTTGAGAGTCTTTGTATCTCTAATCCATGTTGACAGTATTCTTGGATAAAATATCACAATAAAAATAAAAATTAAAATGAACAAATAAAGCTCTTTCTCCTTCATGTTTGAGACATATGAAACATTGCACTGTGATGATTAAAAAAAATAATGAGGTGACATGAAACACCATGTGACTATAAGTATCTACACCAAATATGTACTACACACACCTCTGTTGATTAATAGTCTCTATACTTTATGTGAACATGTGTAAATGACTTAAAATCCTTATTAATCAGGGTGGTCCCTTAAACCATCATGATGTACATACCCCCCTTTCCCTCCCTGAATTATTTTGGTATTCTCCCTTAACTCCCCATATGGAGTGAAACCAAATATTTTTCCAATACCCCTTCCTGTTTCAAGTCTTGGGGACAACCATGCTCAATGTAGAGATGAATATAATTATGGTGAAACTTGCACAATGCTTCTCCTTACAAACTTGAGTAAAGAACAGTTTCATCTTACTTTAAAACATAACCCTGGATCTACCAAGTAAAATGAAAGTACATTGTAAAAAAAATATTTACATTCTGTAAAACCGAAAATGAATGTCATGTTCCATTCATGTCAAACTTTTAATTATCTCTGAGGCCGATACAGTGTCAAACATATTTACCTAACAGTAACACTGATTCTACAAAAAATCCCTGAAATTTCCTTGTAATAGTCAATGTGAATGAATGATTTAGTAAGCCATTAACCTAATGATAAAACCTTTTCTGTGCTAAAAAAATTCCTAATAATGTCTGTTTAATACTTACGACCTTCAGCAGTAAAATTTCTTTTTTATTGTAGGACAATATTAAATCATATTCTATGAAAACTTACTAACATCTACAATACCCCTAATATGTACATTTTATGTTCCATAAAAACAAAATATCTAGATCTGTAAAATGTGCAGCTAATAACTCCCTCTCTGGATCTAAATCCTATCCTAAAATCTATCACATTCATCTTAAAAACCCCTTTAAGTGACGGAGTCCACGAGAAGACGTCCTCGTTGGTCCTATGAGTGACATTGTTCCGTGGATGTATTAGAAGTCATCCTCGTCGGTCCTGTGCGTGGCCTTGTTCCCATCCTCTGTACCCGACTCCTCATACTCTGCATCCTCATCGTCATCATCTCCGTGTATTGTGGACTGGTTTTCTGACGATTCTACATAACACAGCAGTATTGAATATACATATGCCATACATAAAAATATCTCTCACCATACAGTAATTTAAACTAATAGGGATACTTATTTACCTGTAAAATCCTCATTCTGAGACAAGGCCCTAGGTCGAGGTGCTGTTGTGAAGCCTCCACTCTTCTGACTTGTCTGCGACTTTTCAGACTTTATAGACTGATGATCCTGGATATGGTTGGATGATTTTACACTCCGTTGCCCTGATGACTTTCCTGACTTCACAGATCTGTCATCAGGAAGATGAGCACTGCTGTGAGCTGACTTGGAGGATTTTGCTGACTTGCTTGATTTGACAGACTTGTTATCAGCCTCCAGGCCATGAGCTGTCTTTCCGAGTTCATCCTCTGACTGGGCGATTTCTCCTGGACTTTCATTCCCCTCGTCATTTTCTACATGTCTTGTTATGTCTAACTGGTAGCTCTTCAGTGCCTGTGTGGCGGACAGATCGTCATTCTCGGAATGGATGGTACTGAACATATCCCCTGACGAGGTGTCTCTGAAGTTATATGTGTTTTGAGAGTCCATGGTGGATCCAAACGTTTGCTCCCCAATTCTTCCTCGGCTGTACTTGGTATGAAGACGTGACTCTAGGGAGGAAGTTGTGTCTAGTGGTGAGAAATCAGCACCCTCTGATTCGTCCTTGATATCCAAATCCTGACGCACTTGACTGAGCATTGAGCGCATCTTCTCCTACAAATACAAAGTCCAAAACATTTACTTCTTCTTTTTCACAATTAACATTAAATCAATTATTTATGCATTTAAAAATATACAAAGAACTACCCCCGTTATAACTCTGACATATTCATTGTGTTCATTAGATCCACCTATCCAGGTCACATGCTCATTTCAAAAAGTTATCACATGTAATTTTGATATTGACTGTTACAGTAGAGTAACTTAATATTTTCTATCTTGCAAAACAGTAAAATTACTGTTGTATCACAATGGTTGCGTTTGGGTAAAAGTTATTGGTATCCAATGAAAAGACTTCTCAAAAGTATTTACATATGAAGTACATAAGCCTTAGTCCTCACTATTCAAAAGTTGTAGTCAAGGTTAAAGTTTTTTCATAAGTACGTAAATCTCCAAGGTCAAGGTCAAAAGGTCAAAGTTGTTGTTATCCAATGAAAGGTCTTGCCACTAACAACATATATATGAAATATGAAAGTCCTAGTACCGACTATTCAAAATTTATGGCCAAAGTAAAAGTTTGGAATTTATGTGTAAAAGTGGGTAAAACTCCAAGGTCAAGGTCAAAAGGTCAAATTTGGTGGTACCCAAAGAAAGCTCTTGTCACAAGGAATACACATGTGAAATATGAGAGTCATAGCTCCACTAAATCAAAAGTTTTGGGCAAGGTTAAAGTTTTTTTGACGGACAGACTGACGGACAGACAGACAGACGAATGAGATTTAATGTCCCCTCGCTTTCGCGAAAGCGGGGGACAAAAATCTGTTTCTGAAACTGCAATACATATCACAATGCTGTTAAAACTAGAACTGTCCAATTGGGACAAAATACCCCCCGCTGGGTTTTTCAGAAGTAAGTTTTTGCATAATAAAGATATGTATCAAACACGAATTATAAAATTTTTCTTCCAGTAACCATGAACTTCCCAAATGACCTTGGGTCAAGGTCATGACACACCCTTGGGTCATAGGCAATCTTTGAGTAAAATAAGAACCTACCAAGTTTATCTATAAGAAAGATATGGACCGGACACAAATTATGAAATTTTTCTACCAGTGACCTTGAACTTCTCCAAATGACCTTGGGTCAAGGTCATGACACACCCTTGGGTCATGGGCAATCTTTATGTGAAATGAAAACCTACCAAGTTTATCCTTAAGAAAGATATGGACCGAACACGAATTATTAAATTTTTCTACCAGTGACCTTGAACTTCTCCAAATGACCTTGGGTCAAGGTCATGACACACCCTTGGGTCATGGGCAATCTTTATGTGAAATGAAAACCTACCAAGTTTATCCATAAGAAAGATATAGACTGGACACGAATTATGAAATTTTCCTACCAGTGACCTTGAACTTCTCCAAATGACCTTGGGTCAAGGTCATGACACACCCTTGGGTCATGGGCAATCTTTGTATGAAATGAGAACCTACCAAGTTTATCCATAAAAGATATATGTCAAACATGAATTTTGAAATTTTTCTCCCAGTGACCTTGAACTTCCCCAAATGACCTTGGGTCAAGGTCATGACACACCCTTGGGTCATGAGCAATCTTTGTGTGAAATGAGAACCTACCAAGTTTATCCATAAGAAAGATATGGACCGGACACGAATTATGAAATTTTTCTTCCAGTGACCTTGAACTTCCCCAAATGACCTTGGGTCAAGGTCATGACACACCCTTAGGTTATGAGCAATCTTAGTGTGGAGTAGTAGATTCTAATGTCCCTCTGTAAGAAAGATATGGACCGGACACAATTG